GCCCCTGAGCCAGCAGCGTGTAGTGCGGGGCTTTAGGAACAGCAGTGCCAGCAGGTGGGGGAGGTGATCCTGCCCCTCTGCTCAGCCCTGGTGAGGCACACCTGGAGTGCTGTGTCCAGTGCTGGGCTCCTCAGTACAAGAGAGACGTGGAGCTCCTGCGTGGGTCCAGTGGAGGGTAACAATGATTATTAAGGGACTGGAACATCTCTCTTACCAGGAAAGGCTGGAGGAGTTTGGCTCCTTCAGCCTCGAGAAGAGACAACTGAGAGAGGAACTCATCAATGTGTACAAGTTTATATATGTCTATATAGTGTACACAAGGGGGAGAGTGCCAAGAGGATGTAGCCAGGCTCTACTCAGTGGTGCTGAGGAAGCAATAGGCAGAAACTGATGCATAGAAAATTCTACCTGAACATCACCAAGAACAAGTTTGCTGTGTAGGTGACTGAGTACAGGAGCAGATTGTCCAGAGACATTGTGGAGTCTCCATCAATGAAGATACTCAGAAATTGCCTAGACACAATCGTGTGCCATGTGCTCTAGGACAACCGTGCTTGAGCAGGGGAGCTTGGACCAGATGACTCACTTGCAACCTGGCCCATTCTGGGCGCTGTGGGGTCTCCACAACCCCAGCCTTTGATGCAGACAGCTCCTTCCCAGAGGACGCATTGGAGGGATCCCAGTGGTGATACCCTGGGCAGAACCTAGAAGGACTGCAATGGTGGAGCTGCTGGCACTGAGGGTCAGTACGTGTCCCACTGCTAGGGCAGTCTCCTGCTGCCCTGGCTCTGGGTGCTTCCCTCTAGCCCCACCGCCATGGTTCCTGCCCTGCTGCTCGAGTGGGAACTGCCGTGCCCTGTCCCCAGTGCCCACTGCTGACCGTGCTCTGTGCTTCCCCTCACGCCCCGGGTCCCGCTGTTTCCATACTCGACACCTACACATCACAGCTTCGGCCTCTCAAGGGCACAGCCCTCGAGCACAGCCGGGCCCCGGGGCGGCTTCTGG